TCTAGACGCCCGAAAATAACCTGAGGCGTTTTGGGCGATCAATTTTTTCTTTTTCTTTGTTTGTTTATTTGTTTGTTTCTTTTTTTTCTTTCTTTACCTTCCCCGGCCCGGCCTCCCTATGAATCCGCCCCTGCCCTCTCCCTGTATTTTCCCCAGACCGATACAACTACCAACGATCTTATTAGAACGTTTGTGGTAGGTTGTTGACATTTTGAGGAAGTTGTTGACGCTCTTGCTGACACGTGTGTGTAGCTCCTTCGGTGTCCTCTCCTCTCGCGGACCAGGGAGTTGTTGCTCGGACACAGACCAAGCGGGGAATTTTCAAATTCAAAGATGTCCGAAGAAACCATATATAACTCGGAAGAAAGCAAAAATAGGCCTAGTGGCAATGGTGTACGTATTTCAATTTATCGAAGCCGATCGAAGTATAAAATCTTTTAGTCTATTAATATAGACTGTACTACTACAGGCCTAGGCTATGGTGCCCTACTACTACTAGGGCCTAGCCGCCTAGTACTAGGCCTAGACTTGGCTAGGGCTCGATTCCTAGTTAGGGCCTAGGCCTACGTACGCTAGGCCTAGGATTATTTAGTAGTAGGTAGTAGTACAGTAGTAGGCTAAAAGGCTTGGCCTACCTAGATCGAGGCTTAGGCTACTCTAATTTGTTTTTTTATGTTTGTTTAGATTATGGGCTGGGTAGGGTAGGACCGATTTGGCCATGAACATGTTAGGCCGCGATATATTAGTATGGAACGCCAAGTAGGCGCAAAGCTGTGCATGCTGTACGTGTGTGTGTGTGTGTGTGGTTAATCTATTGCTGCTACAGTATCCATTATTTTGTGTTTTATTGTTAGGTCTACTCCGTAAAACAATCAATCTTAATAATAATGTACTAAATTACATATTTAAACGGTATTGTGTTCTTCTTTCTAAGTAGAAGTAAAAACAAACAATACATTTTTATTTATACTGTACTCTTTATTTCAGAAATTTGATTTTATTACGGATGATTTCCCTGTACAGTATACCCCCTAACCTGTGGCCAACGTTGCACTGTGATATCGAATTCATGCATTGATTACACTACTTGGCGTTAGTTATTTTTTAAAATTCTTATTCTTCTTACACTACCTAGGACCTAAGGCCTAGGCCTGTGTTTGTTTTTCATGTGTATAGGCCAAGGCTTATGATGTACCAAAATAAATAAATAAAATAGTAGTCAGGGAACCAGTCAATTCATAACATCATCACACTGGGTTTCGGTACACTTAGGCCCTAGTGACAGATGTCGTATACTGTATATATTGCAATCGAAAACAAACCACATTTAAGTAGGACAATAAACAATATTCCATCTCAGGCCATTATGTTTTATTACCATTACTCCGATTCAGCATGCCCGACTACCCAGCCTTGCGCTATTATAACTGTAGTCTTGCAATCCAGACACTACAACAGATGTGAGGACAGTAACCTCCTAAGCCTAATATAGATCATTTTTGTCAAAAGCCATTGTAAAGACTCTTCTAAATTACATGGTTACATACAGTACGAGGCATCTCCCTATAAATAACACTTTGTAATTACCGTTTATAACGTCACTATTGTATACAGGGCAGAGGTGGGCACAGCCGCCCAGCCTTGACATCTTGCACCCATCCTAAAGCCATTTTTAATGTCTTCCGCCCAGCCTCATACAAACCCTCTCGCCCACCCTAAAAATCTTGCACAAATACAAGTTTTTTCCCAATTAATTCTGTAGTTATTATAATGCGACAATGGGTTCTTCCACAAGTCAGAATGTTGTTCGCCAGGAGTTGTCTGTCTGCAAATTGGTACAGGCAGTTTAGGGTGTAGCCGAAAATGCCTCGACTTGCCAAAATAACGATGCTAGGCTATTGTTGTTGATGCTAGGCTATTGTTGATGCTGGGCTATTGTTTTTTATCATAATTTTGTTTCCCAGTGGTCTTTCTATGTATCTATTGAACTGCTTTTTAATTTTTGTAAATAATAATGTTAGCAAGCCCAGGCATACCTCTTGCATGAGTAATCATTGCAGATTGTATTGTACAGTGAACCATTTTAAACGCGGTGTATGGACGGTTTTACGTATTCCAGGGTAAAGTTCATGACCGCCAAGTACGTAAAAACGGGGATTCCCCATACTGGGAACGGCCGCTAAATTGGCATCTATCACAAGCACGCACTGCCCTGGCCAAAAACCGTGAAACATCCATGGGGTAACCCCTCATTGGTAAAATTCGACACGATTTTTCCAGTGGGGGTAAGTTGGAAATTAGCTCTCATGCAACATACTTTCGACATAGCCAGGCTAGTTTAAAAAAAATTGATGTCAAAGGTAAGACTGTTTTCCACAAATGTCGTTTTAGAACAGCATGCTCAGTCTTACGATATTGTTTTGATTTACTTGTTGCAATGATTTCAAGATCTTTAATCATTGTACTGTGTGTAATACATTGCGGTAAGTTTATAATATCACTAAGCCTCTCTAGCCTAATATCGCTAACCGTACATAGCGCTGATAAGGCCTACTAGTGTTTAATTAACAGTTGAAAGTGTTAGCTGGATTAATTTTCTCCGACTAACTTGAGCCTTGCGTGGAGGCATCAACTACTACTGTTTTCCTATTTAATGTCACAGAGGGCTGCGGAATGCGGGGATGGCTTGGTAGAATTGACGTGTAAAAGCAGGGCGTAGTTGTACAATCGATGTTTGTTTCCCACAATATAGCCATTGTAACCATGGATCTTACTATTCTTTTTCATTTCGCTTTTAGTGAAGCGAAACTCGTGAGCAAGTCGATGTTAATTTGCATTCAGGCTGTATGTAATTCATGACTGAAAATGGGGAAGTCCCTAGCTTACTATAGCGGGAGATCGTTATCGTCACCCACCACCAGTCGTAGATATTTTGAACTAGGGAAAATCAACAAAACATGTTAAATATTATAAAGGATGTGAAATTGTTTCCATCATTTCATTAGTCCAATTTATGGAGTACCGTATTTATTATATTCTAAACGGAAGAAAAGCAGACAATATTATGATGATTACATGATGATGACCAATGTAACGAAGGCTAGTGGTCACACATGTTCATGCCAAACCCACCCTAAAAATTTTAACACCCACCCTCAGTTTTCAATAGCTACATCCCTGCAATATTTAATGATTTTTTTTTTATTGATTCCTTTTAAAAAAATGTTTAGATGTTCTTTTTTAATAGTCTATTTCTTTTGTAAACTTGGAACTCAATTCAGCATTTATGCTGCCTTGTTTTAATTGTATTTTGATGTGTGTTTTTAAAATAAATACAGTACTGTACAATACGGGAGTTGTTCAATATGTTTACGCCATTTGGAACACCAGAAACTCCTGAGTGGGTGAATTGCCAATACAGGTCTTGGTAATTGGTGATTTTTTTTGCTTTTTAAAAAATAATTTTTGTTCTGTTTAAGCAATTTTAGAAATCATGTTTAATATTATTTTTACACTTTCATTCTTTGTTGTTCCTTTGTGATACCCTGCATGTACTTGATTAAGGAATGACCTTGGTTTTATGTTACATTCTTTTTACTGTTTGGAATAAAGAGTGATTTAATGAGAGATTGTAAGCAGATATTAATCTGTAACACTTACTGTACCTTTATAGTCACCAGAATGAAGGTACTGTGCTTTACACAGCGAAAGAAAAACCTTTATTGAATCTGGAACCTACAAATGACCCTGTATCTCCAACAGGTTGGCTCATGTTCATTGGCTTCCATTGTTTACCTTAATGTATATTATCAAATTGTGTTATGCTTTTTCATCTACAGGACCTGGAAAGAGCATATATGCCCAGCCAGTGGTGTCAACGTCTGCCACCAAATGAGGTTGTTGATGAGCATTATAGAGTACTAACAGAAGGTATGACATTCAACTAAGCTTGCATAAACAATTTGAGGTCAATATGCAATTTAAGAAAAAGGCTTCGTATTAAAGGGAATTCCACATCTCATTGCAAATCAGTACCATCTGGTACTAGTGCTGTCTCGTAAGAATTTCGTAGGACGCGTTAAGAATGACAAAAATATTCTCTGTATCTACTGGAACCGAGCCGCATCTGTCTCTTATACACATCTAGATGTGTATAAGAGACAGGCTCATGTTCATTGGCTTCCATTGTTTACCTTAATGTATATTATCAAATTGTGTTATGCTTTTTCATCTACAGGACCTGGAAAGAGCATATATGCCCAGCCAGTGGTGTCAACGTCTGCCACCAAATGAGGTTGTTGATGAGCATTATAGAGTACTAACAGAAGGTATGACATTCAACTAAGCTTGCATAAACAATTTGAGGTTAATATGCAATTTAAGAAAAAGGCTTCGTATTAAAGGGAATTCCACATCTCATTGCAAATCAGTACCATCTGGTACAACTTTTAGAGATACTGTAATAATTAATTAAGGATTGATAGAACAGAATGGAGAGATCAGGATGTTGAAATCCCTCCTCCCCCCCCCCCCCCCATGTAGGAGGATGAATTATTTTAATGAGATGATGACTATAAAATATACATGTTGTTAGACAGGGTTAGTAATTGTGATTTTTAAGACCTGCACCTTGTCGGGCATCTAATTTTTGTGTGTGAAATGTGATCTTTAATATCATTATTAAATCTATCTAGAATTTGAAACAATAAAATTGTTGGGACTGTCACATTATCATTCAAATTCATAATTATATTATTACATTGTCCTTGTTGTTTACTTAATATTCAGAAGAATTTTATAATGTATTTTTCCAGTGTCAATCAAACAAACAAATCGGTTGTCACTAACTTTTTAATGCCACGAATATCATTAAATTTGAAAGTTTATATGAAAAATGATTAAGTGCATAACTAATTTATTTGGTGAATTTTGTTTGGTGTAATGTTCTAACTTAAAAAGAAATAATATTTCCTTCACATCAAACATCAAGTACACTCACCACTTACAGGGCAGAATGATGGTTTATAAACAAAGTCTTTTATTGAGGCCTAGGAGGGGAGCTTTTAGTCTTGAGAAAAAGTTGTGCTGTGACACTGAATTTAGAAGGCAAGCATCTTAACTGCTAGGCTATTCAACTCCACTCCACTTTCACTTCACTATATTTTATTGTTGAAGTTGAATAAATAATAAAATCATGATGATGACAATGAATAAATTTCACATACAATTATGTAAGTACCTGTAGGTTAATTAATTTTTTCAAACAAGGAAAGTCAGATTCACTTGTGATACCAACTCATTATTTTTATTTCTAGGTTCCAAGCGTGTCATTGAGAAGTTTGTTGTAGAACAAAACATCCGTTATGGTCCCTCTGAAGCTCAGAAATTAAATATTGTGTACCCCAGTAGGGTGGTAGATGGTAGGAATTTCACTCATCTGGTTATTTAATTTTTGTTTTGTTCAATGCAGCCTAATGAATTATTTAAACATATATTTGAATATTTATTTTAAACATGGATGCATTTTACATTTAGTAGAGGATAGAATAACAAGTATTTTTGCTGGGTGTTATGAATTGTTATTAACTATCAGTCACTGCAGTATTAAAACTAATCATACTAGGTCTATTAAAAAAGAATATGCTATTGTAGGTCTATGGTGAAATTATAATTTCAGCTGGCATATTTGTATGTAAATGTGATACTATAATATTTATTCACCTAAGTTGTAGTATCTGATTCTTAATTTTCATGAATATTCATGAGCATTGTGGACATCATTGAAACCAATATGTGTGTTTTTTTTTCATTTCAGATGCGGCTGTGCTTGTATTTATACATGGAGGTTACTGGGTAGCTGGATGGTTAGTTATTATTGGTTTGGTTTTTGCACCTTGTGCATATATAATATATATATATATATATATATATATGAGGCATGTCGTGGCGAAATGGTTAAGTTGTCGCACAGACCAGTATCGAGTAAAGGAGCTATAAAATATGGGAGCTCAAAAAATTGCCTAAAAATCCAAATTTGTTTTTCACTCTAGATCAACAGTTTAATGTCTTATTAATCATGTCCCAAAGTATTAGTTCTGGAAGTGGTCAACAAATTGTTTATTTAACGTTATTTTGATAGTTCATTCTATTAAACAATGTATGCACAAATAACTTTGAAAGGCAATTACTCAAAATTATATTTATCTTGACAATAAGAGTGTGGTACTTTCACTTTCCAATAACTGAGGCTTGAAATGTCCAATTTCAATGAATGACCCCTCATTTTAAAGATCACATACTCAGGTATCTGAAAATACCAATAACTTAAATTTCAATTTTTGCTACAACTTAGCCATTTTGCCACGACATGCCTCATATGTGTTATCACACAAAAAAAGGAAAAAATGTTATTGAAAAGTAGAACAATACGCTTTTTCCATGAATCGGTAGACATCTTGAAGTGATGACAAACAACCCAAGTCAGTGGTGCATAACCGACAAAAATAAGATCAGCTTTGATGCTAAATTCTTGACCTCATTTTATTTAAATATTCATAACTCCATAATGGAGGGTCACACATTATCACATTAATTTTTCCTGGAAAATGTTCTTAAAAGACTATTCTATACCACTATATGAAGCTTATCTTATTTTTGTTTGTTACGCACCACTGACTTGGGTTGTTTGTCATCACTTCAAGATGTCTACAGGTTCGTGGAAAAGGCGTATCGATTGCACGATGACGGTAGGACCTAGATGTCACACATGCCAGAATGTTAAGTTCTCATTGTCGTCTAGATTCTAGGATGCACTTTGGCTCAAATCTTTGTTGTGCAGAGAATGCAAAATACAAATCTTAAAGCTCCCGTATTATAAAGTGTTACGGTACTTTTTTTGAGTCTTGGTCTAAGCCAACCATTCAGTAGCTTTCATTGTGAATGTAAGAACTTCATTCAGTGATCATATGACTGTGAATTGTTATGTGATTGCTCACATGAGAGCAGATCACTGAAGGTATCTGGGTGAACAGGGACACTGGATACGAAAGATACCATAACACTTTATAATATTTTAGCAAGTTATTTTATATTATTGTATTATTGCAAAAACTTCAGATGTTTTTCTATAGTCCAGAACAGAACATTGCCATTGCTGAACAGTTTGTAGAAAATGGGGCAGTTTTTGTTTCTATGGGTTACAGTTTATCACCAAAAGGTAAGATTTGTAACATTATTGTTGCTTCTTTATGCTTGTAGGAACCTATTTACTTATAAATTTACAATAAACTGAACTGAACTTGCGTGTGTGTGGATGACATGTTTGTGTGGTGTAATTGTGAGTACTGTATACCCCTCAACAAGCCCTTATGCCTAAACCCGAGCCTAAGATCATCATAATGACACATTTTTAAAGCCTGTAGGCAGGTTTTTCGATGGGGAGGTGTGTTTTGTGAGTCAAACAGGCTTTGATCCATCTGTGATCACTGGAATCCCTTGGAAGCTCCGACAAAGTAGCATTTTGAGGGCTTATATATTTGATTTCTTAAACCCATTATTCTATTTAAATTTCCATTTGTGTGTATTTTAGAGACCTGAAGAAGTAAAGTTTTATGTCCTTTACATGGGGATGCATCTGCACCCCCCCCCCCACTTACAGGCCTGATTTTTGTTATACCCACACAATGCTGAGGCTTGCTATGATGATAATCATCAAAAGATAATGTTTTTTAAGTTTTATTTTCTATGGTACATCATACATATTAATTAGATGGTTGCCGAAAACCGCTGATAAAAGATCATGAGAATTTTGTTGGCGCTTCTTTTTGACTATAAAATGGTGATGTGATGATGATAAATTCTACTATTTGAAAGTGTCATTTTCAGCCATCTACAGGTACTATTTCAAAGGAAAGTCCCACACTTTTCAAAAAAGATCTGCGCTCTAGAATGCACCATCTACTGCCAAATCCTGCATCAGCCCCAGCTTTATACAAAATAGTTTAAGCATGCAATGATGACACCGTACTTGTATTTTCAGCATCACTACCTGAAATAGTAGAGCAAGTGAAGTTGGGTTTTGCTTTAATTTTGAACAAGTTTTCAAACTCGCGGTAATTTGATTTTCCTTTATACACATTAGAGTAATTTTGACATACTGTAGAAAAAGGGTAACTCTATTTTGCTAAAATTTACATAATGCTGTTCAGGTCTGGACTAAGTAGGTTTTAAGTTAGTAAGATTTTGCACATGCATGATCGATCTAATCATAAATACGTTCTGTGAATCGTTCATCAATGCTTGCAATATTAGCACATGCTCAAGAAAATTTAACCAACATCACACGGTTCACATTGGCAAAAAGAAGAATTATTCCTCCTGAGCAAAATTGGCTCGATTATAATTGACCAAGGAGAATGTTATACAAGCTGTGACCCAGTGCGCATGCTTAGTTTGACCAAAGACAATTTAATCTGAACAGGGATAATAATTGTTGATTTAATGATAAAATTAAGTTGGGGTGCACATTATTTAATATAATAATGTAATTTATAGTTCATTGATCTAATGAGGCTACATACTACTATATAACACTCTGTATAATATTTTTCTAACTGAACTGAAGCCCACATAAATCTGTTAACCAATTGTTCCATTGTTAATAATATAAAAAATTGCAGACAAAAACATACTCTTTATTGGGTTTTTCATTTATTTGACACAGACATGCGAACCTTCAATTTTTTTTTTAAATGGCTGATTATAGGGGTAGACCTCCTTGACTACCATCATAAGACCATTTGATAAAGCTGGCTACTGTTTTAGCAGTTTGCCCCAAGGTAAAGATTAATGTGGACTTGTTGATTACTGTATTATTATTGATGCATTACAATACAATACATGGTTTCAGGTCGATATACGTGTCAGGACATTCAGCTGGAGGTCATCTGGCTGCAAGAATTCTAGAAGTTGATTGGTCAAAGCATGTTGGTTCAGCAAACAATCCTCTAAAAGGTAAATAATGTAATATACAATATTTATGTTCAATAAATTATTTTAAAAAACACTAATAATAATATTAATATATTTTATTATAAATTTTTCTTAGCTCTTCAAATGCACTTCATATTTTGAAATTATTTTTTCTTTGTCAAAGTTTATAATGAAAATAACTAATTATTGTTTGTTTCAAAATTCTGATTAAAACCTCACATTTTATGGTTTTTTAGGTGCTGTTCTGATGAGTGGGCTGTTTAACTTGCTCCCCCTTCTTCACACCTCAGTCAATGATGGTGTATGTATGTCTGAGTAAGTGATCAATGCCACCCCCTTCCCCCTTTTTGGAAAGTAAAAAAAAATGATCGCCCAAAATGCCTCAGAGGTTGTTTTTGGGCATCTAGAATACAAAAATTTCACGGGGACATAACACGGCCTTGGGTCGTGTTATCTTGATCGGCCCCCACTCACGGACATCTCTGTATTCACTCCTGGGGTGGATTGCTATAAAACGGTCTTACCTGGTATTCTTAACTCCTCGAATAAAGCCGGCTTTATCACTTAGACGGTCTTACTAAAGTCATTCCTCTAAGACCATTGCTATAAAACAGTCTTCCCTAAGACCGCTTTGAGTATTGAAACACGAACAAGCACTCCCTGGTAACGTAAGATTGGGAGCGACGTCATGCGTGCTCGACGCACGCAGATGTATCGAAATGAACGTAAATAAACGTAGACCTATTTTTACAGACGCTGAGAAGTGTGCGGAATATTCGTTGTTCAGTTCTCCGACTTTGACGATCTAGGTCTTGCCATTGCACTGTTGAATTTATCAACAGAAAATGATTTAAGACCGTTTTAAGCCTCCTCCGAGTAGGCTTTAAAATTTAAGACGGCTAACTGGTTAGACCGTGGTATAGCAATAGTCTATAATCATAGACCAGTAGTGACGTCACGATTATAGCCGGCTAACCGTTAAGACTGTCTAAAGACCGCTTATAGCAATCCGCCCCTGGATCATCGTAATAAACATAATTCTACTTAGTACACAGAAAAATGAAAAATCTAAAGCAGTGGGCAGGTGCCTGGGAGGTCATGTTCTAAGCATTCCTGGATATGTGACTGCTCCTAGTTAAACCATCATAATTAATGGGTTACAAGAAACACAAAATTAGTGCTATCCATTTCAGGGAAATTGCCAAGCAAGAAAGCCCGATAGAACACATCGTTGAAGTAGGTAAGCAATGTAAGCAGTTAGAACTTGTGCATGTTGTGGTTGGTGAGATGGAGTCCCCTGAATTCAAAGAACAATCTATGGACTATGCTAAGGTAAAATCTATCGTCATTGACAGTATTTCTTGTACTTACAGTTAAACAGTTTTACATTAATTAACAATCTATAAGTCAAATTTTATCTAAGTCGAACAATTTTTCAATGACATTTTGGATTTGAAGTTCAACTGTACAGTGATTCATGCACAGAATGCCTCAGTATCATGAAGTTTTGCAAATGCTTTGTTAAATGTTTTATATTAAATCATGCTGTATAAATTTTATCTGTGTGTAAATTATAGATTACTATTAATACATAAGTTATTATAAAGCACCAATATGACAAGGCTTAGGGAGTGAAGATATTTTTTAGTCCCAGGAGACTGGGATTGGAAGGTAAACATCTTAACCACCAAGCTACATCTCCGATACTTGGTTCGTAGGGTGGATGTTGGTTTTGATCCAAGGACACAGATTCAAAGGAAAGCATCCCAACCAAAAAACTACACTCAACTATCATCCTTCGCCAAATCATTAAAATATGGATTACATAATATAAGGTCATTTGAAATTAGATTCTGTTACTCGTCTAAATACTTTACTTTATTGTATAATTTAGGCTTGCAAGGAAGCAGGTGTAAATGCACAGTATAAAGTAATTTCAAACGTGGACCATTTCAACATGATAGAGAGATTGTTGGGAGATGATTATATCTTGACACAAGTAAGTGTAAATGACAATTATGGTGACTGTTAGGGTAGATTAAAGAGGTGGTCTTACAATTTCCATTGGGAGCTAGGGCTACAGGATCAGGTGAGGGACTTGTCCTGAGTGGTATTAAATCATATTTTGCATATATTTATTTACTTGTTTTGTTCGTTCAGTTGTGGCTGACTGACAAGTGTTGGCCTGCCAGAGATAAATAAATCATCCTTCTCATTTTTGAATTTACTGTAGATAAATGAAGTATTGCATTATGTTTTCAGATGATTCAGAAGATGATGGCACTAGATATTCAAGTTAAATCCACAAATGATTAAACAAAAGTGTGCATGCTGCAGATTATTTTACTGAAGTTCAGTTTGTTATGCAATCTATTACTGTTAACTGTTGAAGAAAAACGTGTGGAGCAGCATGCAAGGCATTCTTTCAATCAAAAGGTCAGAGGTTAGAGAGCGATGCTCATCTCTCTGCTCGTGTCTTGGAGCAAGACACTTTGTCTGCATTTGCCTCTCTTCACCCAGAGTATAAAAGGGTACCTGGTAGGAGGTGAACGATTTGGAAGGAATTAAATAAGTGCTGATTACATGCAAAACTAGGAAGTTTCCCCATTGTGTACAATTGATTCTGTATCCAAATGACCAAGGAAAAAAAGAACCTTCCAGTTTTCTGGATACAGTACTTAAATTCTATAAAATAATATAACTATAAGTTGCCAAATCTCTCAAACAATTATTTATAAGTAATATCATATTTTGGTAAGTAAACCTTAAAGAATAAAATAAATCAGAGGGGTTGGGTGTGGTGGGCCAGATGATCACCTGAGCATTGCTGTACTGTAGTTTAAAAGGCATGTCTGATTGATTTTTTTAATGTGTAAAAAAATTTTTAGACTTTTGGTAGCATTAGAAATTAGCACTGAAATATACAGTATTTATATATTTAATAGATTTTAGGTTCACCACTTGTCAAAAACATATTGAAAGTGAAGAATTAAAACCGGAATAAGGCAAAGTATTTTGTAGATATTTTTTTGTCTTGTGTCTTATCCTAATATACTGTGGGAGCCTTTCACTTGTGTCCTTGGACTTCACCCAAAAGGTTTAGTATGATGGGCTCCCAACAGCTCATTGCCCTACTACCTTTACCAGTAAGGACTTTGTAAAACAACAATGTAATGAAACACTCGACAATCTGTTTTAGTTACCAATGTATTTTACAAATCTGTACTTTCAACAGAGCTGTGTTTACATAAATGCTTATGAATATTCATAAGTGGGGTCACCATCATTTTGACCTTTTACCATGGTTTCTATATTACTGTACTTTAATCTGCATCCTTAACGGTTGGACTTGGCCACTCTCTCAAGTTCATCCTTCTTCTTGATGGCATAGGAGTTGGAAGATCCCTAATGGTAAAATAAATGTAGGGCAAGTGAGCAATATAAGAACAACTAATTTTAATAATTATGACAGACATTATTTTTTAAATCATACCTTGTAACTTTGCTAGACCACAGCTCACAAAAAATGCTGGTCCCAAAGTGCTCTTTAATTGGACAGAGACCTGCATTAAATATTTATGGTAATATAATTCAACACCAACCTTAGCGGCGTTGATCAGCTCATCAGCCAAGCACTCAGCAATGGTCTTGATGTTCCTAAAGGATGCTTCACGAGCTCCAGTGCACAATAGCCAGATGGCCTAGGATAAAAAGTACACAAATTATAGATAATACTTTAAAAATTTGAACAAATGAATGCAAACACATCTAGAAGTAACAAAAATGAAATCAAACATGCTTATAAATGTTATAAACTAGACCTCAGCCAAATGTTTTCAACACCAGTGAACTGTACTAATTAAAAAAGTAATTTTACCTGGTTGACTCTACGCAGAGGAGAGACATCAACAGCTTGACGACGGACAGTACCAGCACGACCAATACGGGTGGAATCTTCTCTTGGTCCACTGTTAATGATGGCATTAACAAGGACCTGGAGTGGGTTCTGAAGATAAACAAAAAAAAAAATTAAATTTAAAACTTATATAATTTGTATTACCATTCCTATAATCTCTACAGGCCTTTCAATTTGTAAATAATTAACGATACTTCTAAAGATCTGTCTACACTTCTAGACTCGGAATAACAATGTAAGATTTTCTAAAAAATTGTTGTTCATATTATAATTATTTTAGTATGAAATAGATGTGTCATATTAGACTTAAGTTATTTGAACTTAAGAATTAGGCTGTAATATAATACTTAATTTGTAACATAATTAGTTCAAACTCATAGTTTATATAATTACTAAGTTTATGCCTAGTCAATGCATTCTTTTTATGTCATTTGATGGACTTTTTTGCATGTCATTCAATCAATAGATAGCGATAACGATTACAGTTACGTCATCAAACTTATAGTCAACCCTTCCCATACAGTAGCATATCTGTTACAAAGTAGGCAATTCATGCCTATTGCATGAATCAAGGATCATATTCAACTCATACAGCATATTGTCAGTGATGTTTTAGGCACCAATGATAATGACATTAGTTTTCCTAAGATTGCAAAATCTCCCTAATACCTCTCCAGTCAGAAGATGAATGATCTCAAAAGCATGCTTAACAATGCGCATGGTCAGCAGCTTTTTGCCATTGTTACGTCCATGCATCATCATAGAGTTGGTCAGACGTTCCACAGCTGGACACTGGGCCTTCCTGAATCGCTTAGCAGCATATCGTCCAGCGCTGTGTGGAAGATACTTTGCAAACTTTTCTTTCACAGCAATATAATCCTATGGGAGATTCAAACAAATTAATGAATTATCAGTAAAATCCTATTTTAGTTTGGACTTGTGAAAAAATGTTTTCTCTTTGGCATCATTAGATTTAATCATCATTTAAATGCTGTCTCTATGAAAGAACACAGACTCAGTGAAACATCATTGACCAGGCCTACTATATCCCTATTCCAGAATCTGTAAAAAGCATGTAGAAGATTCTGGAAAATGAATGAAATACAGGATTACATTGGCTAGAATCACTTTCTACAAGATTGCCTAAATAGTTTCATCTGGTTTCCAATATATAAGTTTTATAGAGAAAATTTCTTCAAGTAAACCAATATTCACTGTTATTTTGTGGATGAGAGTTTCTTCTATCTGATGAAGCCCAACTGCAGTTGGGCCAAACTGTTATCCACAAAACAACAGTGAGTATTGGTTTACTTGAAGAAATTTTCTCTATAGAATTTCTACGAGATTGTTTCACACGCATGTGGAATCAGATTGGACTTTTATTTGGCCCTATGCTGTGATTTAAAAATGATATTGAGCTTACAGTTAAACTGATGTCACTGACTTGAACGTCATCACAACTCCAGCGGCCAAACAGCTTCACCTCCGGTGCCTCGGCAAGTTGGCTAGCAGCACCAACTACAACATCATCAGTATCCCAACTTTCTGTAGCCATGGTTTCTGAAGCAAAAACAAAAGTAATAATATAGTAATTACTACTACTAGTCTAGGAAAATACTATGTCATTCTTACTGTAGTTATATGTCATAATATTAATAAATCCAAAAACCATTGGAACTGAAATGTAGATGACATCATTACTCTCTGTAAACTGTACAGTACTTTAAGACAGGCCAAATTCTTTACAAAGTTTGCACAGCAATTGGCCCTTATTTCCCAAAATGTGTGGACAAATTTATAGGCCTAATTTTTGCACGGATGATATTTTTCCCCTGCAGGCCTATCTTTTAGTCTGGTCTGTATTAGATTCTAACATTGAAAAGAAAAATCAACATACACCATATTTGGAATAAATGATTTTAAATTATTGTGGTAACTGTGGACATAATCATCAACAACTAAAAAGCAAACCAATACAAGAATTAAATGGGAGTGCATTTTACATTCTTACAAAAGAGTTTTTTCTAATCAAAAGTTTATCCATTATTAAAATGAAAATTATATAGAATGCAGCATTTCGGTTTAATATTATTATATTTAATCAACAATGTCAGGCCTCACTGTCTGAGTGAGGTGCCTAGGCCGGCTACAGTACAGGCCCGCCTACTCTATATATTTCTAGGCCAGGGTCCTAGGCCTAGCTTAGGTCTAGACTCCTATGAATCAATGAAATACGCAGGCTGGACCCTGGCTGGGCCTAGTTATGTATAGAAAATAAGCCTAGGCTTACTTAGCATAGGCATATGCCATTCAGTCAAGGCTAGTAGTAGTAGGTCTAGCCTAGGCCGGGTGAGTAGGCCTATACCGGGTATTATTACACGACGTCCACATTTTCAGCACACACACACAGGCAGAAACAGCGAGCCTCGGAAATTTGACACAGCGATTAACCACATTTTATAAGTTAACGTGTAATTATATACGCATATTCGTTATATATATTACTAAATATTATGTACTTTGTATATTCATCAGTTAATGTGTTAAAGAAACTATGAAATAATAGTATATTTCTTAATCTCAAACTGACCATACCTCACAAAAATGTGATCAGTAGTAAAGAGGGCGCTTTTACACATGCCTTCCCATAATGCACTTTTTAAAGATGTATTGTCCCTTGCTAATGTCAAAAAATCATAAAAAAAATAAGTTTGAAATAAACTTGCTCATTTTGCAATAACATACAAATTATTAACTTGTGCATAGAAATTATTGAATTTAAAAAATGTGTACCCTGATTTTTAAACCAACAAAAAAGTAATGAAACACTTGCAGTGACACGAGTGTTTCTATCATTTCGCTACTGATGCCGGTTTTATAGACATTTTTTTAAACACTCAAGTTGATAGTATGTTACTTCAGAATGGGAAAGTTAATTTCAAAAAATATTTTTTATGATTTTTTTTAATATTTAGCATGGGACAATACTTCTTTAAGTGTACGCATCTCGTTCTCGGTTACTTTTTGTTCATTTATATCGGATGCACTGATGATACAATGATATAATTCGTCTTCTTTGATAATTAAATATGTCTTAATTTAAAAAAAAAAGAAAATATACATTGATATCGTCTTGGATTAAATATTATCTGAACTTGTGGGGGTAAAATATCGTCTTGGATTAAAGATTATCTGAAGTGGGGTAAAATATCGACTTGGATTATAGATTATCTGAACTGGTGGGGGGAGGGGGTGAATCTTTTAAAATCGGCAATAAATAGGAGTAAAGTACTATTCTGATTCGCATATAGTAGGCTACATTTCCAAATAAAATATATCAGTATTTACAAAATGAGGGATAGTGTACGTGTAGGCAATGGTTGTTGTGTTTAATGCTAATTCGTTTTTCTTATTTTTTTTCATACAATATTTTATTATGAATCGTTTATTTTTATTTTTTCATACCGAACATTTATTATGAATTCTACAACTACAACACCATTCACCACATTCTACTACTGACTCTAGCAAAATGTGATCTAAGCAATTGTGACCATACTTGAGGGGCGTTTATGAATATTTACGCATTTTTCAAATGGACCTTAGTTTTTGCGCTCAATTCAAGAAAAAAAAATAAACAAATAACTACAAATAAGGTATACTTCTGTTATACATTAATATGGGATAGCACCATAAGCACCATATAAAACGAAATAATCTGCAAATACGTTTTGTACACCGTTGGTTGTGGGTTGGGTATTGGGTATTGTCAGGGAACAGTTAAATTTCACTGCTCCCTCTGGTATTGTTACTATCTCTTCCCGAATTAGAGCTAAACATGATTGTTCAATTTGGTTAAGTTCCATGAGTATTACAAAGTTTTATATACGGTAAGGTGAGAAAAAATCAATAAAAATAGTATTTGAAGTAGGGTAAGTATGCCGCAACCCCACCCACCCTTTGCAGCAATGTGTAAGAAGAACAACTATTACTGCACATATCATATCATATTCAGATATGTTCATGATTGGCCTAAATCCAATCCAACCATCCAATCCAATCCTGGGCAAACAGGTGCATTTTAAAAGTCAGAATGCGCGAGCCATAGCCACAGTCAGGGGCGGATCTAGAGATGTCCGAAAGGGGGTGGGGAG